TTGTCCTTAATGCTTACTTCAATCACTCCTATATATTGAATAATTGATAAAACGTTTGTTAGTATGTTTTGTTCATAAATCTTGTCCTTAATGCTTACTTTGATCACTCATGTACAACTATTTAATAGTTGATAAAACGTTTGTTGGTATGTTTTGTTCATAGATCTTGTCCTTAATGCTTACTTCAATCACTCCTATATATTGAATAATTGATAAAACGTTTGTTAGTATGTTTTGTTCATAGATCTTGTCCTTAATGCTTACTTAGATCACTCCTGTACAACTATTTAATAGTTGATAAAATGTTTGTTGGTATATTTTGTTCATAGATCTTGTCCTCAATGCTTACTTCAAACATTCCTATACAAATTATTGAATAATTGATAAAATGTTTTGTTAGTATATTTTGTCCATAGATCTTGTCCTTAATGCTTACTTCGATTATACCTACACAAACTATTGAATAATTGATAAAAGTTAGTTAGTTACTTCGATCACTCCTATACAAACTGGATCTTAATCTTTATTATCATCCTCAAAAAAGATGATTCGTTGTCGTCGTTTGCATATTATTGTTTAATGTTGCTATAACAACTACTGATTGATGGATATTCATAATAATCATTAATGAAACTTTAATCAATATAAAGTCAGAAATATAAAACAATCACCTTTTAGTTTTTGCTGAATCCCATCTACATAAATTCTTCATGACTATTAAAATTTCTATAAAATAGTTTTTCGTGAACCTCTCTAAAACTTATTAACCAATACCCCCCATAAAGTAATGACCATATGAAAGCTTAAAGTATTCTACACCTTCTCATTTACTATCAAGTCTTTTAAAGCGATATTGAGAAATAATCTGAGGTTTGAAGTGAAAAAGTAATACCGTTTTTGAATAGCCGTGAATTCATGTAGAGGAGACCTTTCGGTATGAAAAAGTATTCATTAGAAAGCTTTAATGGAGTACTTTCATTTTAGTCTAACAACGAATTTCGAGTTTATTATAAAAATAACGAGATATTTTAAAAAAACTTCATGTGACACGAATTTCGAATTTATTTTCACATATAGAAAAGCAGCCTCAGGGAAATGTCACACGACTACTAATAACAAATTATTTTACACCATTTATACGGTTTTTCTTGTTCACGTTTCATTATTTTCTTAATTTATTTCACATAATGCGTCAAATTAAAGTGCCACATTACAACATATTAATATTTATAGATTTATATTTATCATTTATTAGTATTATGTTAGATATTATTATTTATATTTATATTTCTTATATGAACGAACAAGTTACCAGTTGAGTACTGCAAGCTTTCCAGAAAGTTATAAGATATTAACGATTATGATAATTATTTATTTATTAATTAATTAGTTATAATAATAACATGTATTTCTGTATAAAAAGATAAGTTTTCCGAATTCAATAAATAGCGACTCAAAAAAAACTCTTCCTAAAATCCTTTCCCACCAGGGCACAGCCAAAAAATCAAAAAATTTTTTAGATAATATAAAAACAATATACATATAAGCATAGATAAAGAAAAACTCCCAATATCAAGAATAGTTGTGGGGAGTTGATGAAGAAGTCAGTTTTGTAAAAAAAATGAAACAAAAATTTTTATTTCTTTAATAAAAGTGTTATAAATTTAACTGATTTTATTAAATTTATCATAATTTTATATTTATCAATTCAGTTCAATAAAATTTTAAATATTCTTTAACCTCTATTTGTTATAAATATTGTAAAAAATGAAAATGTAAATGAATATCATGTAGTAGCTAAAGATGGCTCTGCAACCAAGTTGCAACTCTGGAGGAATATTAAGAGAATCTGCAGCTTGTTTCAGCACAGAAGGTCGCAATTCAGAGCAGGGTTTGTGACCTGAAATTACATTTGAGTTCTGATGTTAAGAGGAAAGTAAAATAATGTTTGTTTGTATAATCATTTTTATAAATTTTCTGTTTCTCTTGTTTGATCAACTGGATTTGTTATTTAAATGGGTTAGGGTTGTTGGTGAGTAGACATGCCACCAACAAGACAGCAACCCATGTTGCAACCTTCCAAGTTGGAGAATTTTGAATCAGTAGCAGACACTGACTTTATTCTAGAGGGGGGTATAACACAAAGCAATCATCACACAAGCACCAGTTATCAGTGATCAATGCCCATATAGTAACAAAGCCTAGTCTGATAGGAAGATAAGGGAAGTTTTGTCCAAAGCCTTCCAACATGTGGGGGCCTTCACCTGTGGAAAAAATTCCACAGTTATGGAGGTGTGTGAGAGCACTCAACCATATGTTTGGTGATAGGTAATTTTAATTAAATCTGACACCTGCAATCAACATCAGATTTATTATTCATGAGGAACCATAATTGATAATCAGGAAAAATAATTAATTTGTGAACCCCAGAGATCTGGGTAGACAGGCATTATTAAAAGTTTTGTTTATGCATGGCCTTGGTGTTATTGCTACCTGGATGATGCAATTGTTTGTTATGTCAATTATAGCACTGAATGTATTAAATAATAATCATGACTGAACAGCATATCAATTTTCCCTTAATTTGTTTCGCGTGTAAAGCGTCAAAATTAAAACATTACCATTACCATTACATTTTTATTATATTTACGTTATCTTTTATTATTTATATTATTGTTAGTATGCGTTATTATTAATTTATATTATCATTTACCAATTAAGTGCTGCAGCTTTTCCAGAAAGTTCTAAGATTTTATTATTGATAATTATTTATTTATTTAATTGTAATGTATAAAAAGATAAGCTTTCTGTAATTAATAAAGAGTAATTCATTTTAAACTCGATTTTACTTATATTTGATGTAAGGAAAAGGGTTTCCTTATGGTGGAGATAAATTTGAAAAAAAAATCAAGGCATGAATGGTCATTTACAGTCCAGATTTTTATGTCACAGTCATGTTCGTTCATTATTAGTTATAGGTTTGGCTTTCTTTCAATATATATATAGACACACACAACTGCGCAGTCACTTTTTAATTTTTTTTTTCATAATAAAAAAACATTTATTGTTATGTTTAGTGAGTTGTTTAAATGAATAAATTTTGACAAATTAATTTTATAAGTATCTCTCCATTGTACTAACAATTTCAAAATTAAATAAATTGCTTGAATCACTCATCTGTTGATAAGAATTTCTTGTTTTCTTTATAATATTAATAATAATAAAAAATAAAATAAAATGGGATCTTTATGCTAAAAAAATTTTGATACCTGAAATTCTTGGTAATACCAATGTTCACTTTGTCTGGTTATGTTGCAGCATGCCCCGTATAATATATATACATTTATAACCCTTAAATATTCGAGTGCATTATAAAAGCCTTTAAATTTTCTCTTGTATCTTTTGTGTTTGCTTTTGAGGGCTCGAGAAATTGTAATTAATACTTGAGTAAATACAATCGTACCTCCATGCAAGAACCCTGTTTCTAAAAAAATGTGCTTACAGAGAGGTATTCTTATATAGAGGAGGTATTCTCTATAGGCTTAATCGTCCCCATACATATATATATTATTACCCTAATAAACTAACTAAAAAAAACTAAATCAATCAAAAACCTCACGTGTTTGTGGCTATAAATAGTTAACTGATAATAATTGATAAGCCTTATAAAAAAATTTTGTTCATAATAATCAGTCGTTTAGTTTCTAATTCTTTTTATAAAAAAAAACTTTAATTAATAAAAAAAATGAAGTTGTGGGATTCTATGGAATTTGGAGATCAAGGAACTATGGACGACAAAAGTCCATTTGACGGTGTTTTTAAACTAAGCAAAACACAAAGACTTTACGGTTTTGGAATTTGGTAAATGATTAAATAAATAATATTTTAATAATTAATTGCAAAGACTAATCCATTCTTTATGATTATAACTTGACTTTTAGTTTTGCACTTGGCTTCTTTATTAGTTTAGTGGTTTGTACATGATAATAATCAAAATCACAATAATGCTGATGATTTCTTTGTTAATAATATTGTTATATTATCATTGTGGGTTACTTTACATTCATTCGTTCCTTCATTTCTACATTTATTGATTAATATCTTAGGGAACATTTGCCTTAATAACTGGAAATTTACCTGGATTTGCAGTGTTATATACTTTGGGTAATGTTGTATCTTTACTAAGGTAAAAGAAATTTATGTCGAGAATAAGAATGAAAAATTGGTTTTTTTAAATTGATTAAAAAAAAAAATTAAATTAAAGCTAAAATTTAATTAATTAATTAACAGTACAGGATTTCTTGTAGGATTTGTTAAACAAGTCAAGACTATGTTTGCACCTGGTATTGTTGTTATTATTTTATTATTTATAAGAATGATCTTACTGATATATTATTATACTAATATTTTTCATTTTGTTAATATAGTTCGTTGGATTGCAAGTACGGTGTTCTTTATAACTATGGTCGTTACATTAATTGTTGCTTTCACGGTAAATATTCATTCATTCATTTAAGAAATTATCACACGTATGGATTAATTAGTAATTAATTAATTATCATCTTGATTGATCGATCAACTGCTGGGATTTAGATTCAATCAGCAATTTTATGTATAATTATGTGTGTTGTTCAATTCTTGGCATTATTTTGGTATTGGTAAGTATATTTCTTATTAATAAATAATTAATCAATCATCAATCACTCAAATATTCTTATTCTAATTAATTAATTATTTTTTTATTTTATAGTGCAAGTTATATACCATATGGAAGGTAAGCTATTAATTAATTTCTTATAATTTGATAATAGATTTTTTAACTAATATAAACCAAATTTTTTCTTTATCTCTTCTTTTTTATTCAAGAACAATTATTAAAAGTGTTTGTGGAAAATGTGTTGAAGGCGCAGTTTAAAGCAAGCAATCAATTTTTGTTTATATTATTATTCTCACAACAATTAATAACATCACCATTATCACTATCATCTTTGCTGTTAATACGATAACTACTGTTATCTTTTTGTAATTAATTAAAGTAAACTTGTAAACTATTTATTATATTAATTCCAAAGTTTCAAAGCCATATGGATCATATTCGCGAATAATAGTAAAACAGTGGCTGTGGCTTTTTTCTTTATTAATATATATTCAATAATATAACTTTTAAATCACGTGCATCATAAATAATCATTAAAAGTTAATTCAATCCTTGCCACTCAATAATGAAAATTCACGGATATTATATATATTCTTGAATCAAAATATATTAAAATCAATCAATAAAACAATAATCTCAATTGCGATAATAACTATAATAACCTGATCATTCCCTCTTTACAAATTAATCATTCGATAATCTTTTCAATTGACTTTCTCCATTACCTCTACCAAAACAAAAGTTTTTATTAATTTACTTTATAAAATTTCATTTCTTATACTTGCTTAAATTGTTGAAATAAAGTTGGATTCGTCTTCTAACAGATTGCCTTTGATAGGTCTAAATAATTATAGAGACTTCGCTTAAAATATCTCAAGAATAAATCATTTACAGGAGCCCACAGTATCCAAAGAGTTGCAGCCAGCCACAAGAAGTTTTTACAATTACAACCAATGTCTAAAGATTGTTATCAATCAATCCCGTAGAATGTGTATTAAACATAATAATTATAGCGTCGACGCGATTTCTTGATTTTATTATTTTTTAAATTAGTATATTTATCTTATTATATTTTATTTTTACAACTTTTTATGATTAATAATTGATTATCTTGAATGTTTTACTTCTAATGATGCAATATACGAGGGATTTTTGCTTTAAAAGACAGAAATGCCTGGCTGGAGCTTTCTACAAAGTAATTATTATAATCTTGGTGAAACCATAAGAAGTTTGATTCTCTATTAGAGTTTTCAAACTGCCGCCATTTTGATAAAATAAAAAAGGTAAGTTGGAAAATAAATTTCTTCATAAAACAACCACATGATAAAAATCATTATAAAAAAAAAATATCAAAAGCTATGCTTATTTATTTGATTAGTTAACCTCTGAACTGTTGTTAAGGATACGATCCAACAATGGGCAAGAAAGAGACCGTAGACAAACTTATTGTTGTTGTTCTCCAAATCATTTTCCTTTTGTTTTAAGATGATTTTTATTTGTTAATTTGATAAATAAATTAATTTAATTTTTAAAAAAATGAGATAGATAAATTACAAATAATATATATATTAAACAACAAAAACATTTCGTGGAAGCCAAGTGTTTAATTAACCACCTACTCTCATTCCAAGCAAATAATCTAGAATCACATCAAAAAACCAATCTGATAAGAAGACTGGGTGTAGAAAATGACGATCGATTTTTTAATGAATCCCAGTGTTGGTGATTGGTATATACATTGGCGCATCTAATCAATTACCAAATTGTCAACACTGTCTACATGTATCATCACGTCATTGCTGTTCATCAAGTTTTGATCTGCTGCGAATTCGAATTGAATCGCATTGTACTTTGATTCGATTCGAACAGATTCGAATATATAATTTGATTCGAACGGATTCGAATTCGGATTGATTCGATTCGATTTGAACAGATTCGAATATATAATTTGATTCGAACGGATCAAATTCGAATTGATTTGATTTGATTCGAACGGATTCAAATTCGAATTGATTTGATTTAATTCGAACGGATTCGAATATATAATTTGATACAATTCGAACTGATTCGAATATATAATTTGATTTGAACTGATTTGATTTGATTCAAACTGGCTGGTACGAATCTATAATAATAACTGATTTGAATCCATGATTTGAATCAAATACACTATATATAATAAATGAAAAATCTTTATTTCAATGTATATTTTATAATTTTATTTACAAAAATATTTTTTATTTTATATTTATTTATATAGTATAAATATTGTAAAATTCAAAAAAAAAAATTTTACCTGGAGCAATAATTGCATCTCTTGTTGAAGAAATTGAGGAAGTCAGTAATATCAGTACTTATTATTTTAGATTTAATGAATTGTACAACTGTAAATCGTTACTTTTTTACTCATTATTAATAATATAGGTCACACAACCATTAATATTAATATTAATATCAAGAAATCCGTAATTATTATAAATATCATATTAAGAAGAATTTTATTATCATTAAACCATTCTTAGACCTCAATCCATTAGTATTAATTAAATGGAGGCACAAAAATTGAGATTTACTGTGTAATATAAATTTAAATTATCAAATTAAAAATATAAATTTAATATGACATTAAAAAAAATTTTAGGAATCTGGTTTGATTCGAATCAATTTGAATCAAGTCACAAATCGAATCAAATTGAATTGAATTGAATCCTGTTTTTTTGAATTTGAATCAAATCAAATTGACCACAGATTGAATTGAATCACTCTCAAATTTGATTCAATTCGATTTGTTCAGAGCCTTAATAGAAAGTTCTTTTATTAGATCTGATTTTCTTCTTAAGGCGTCTACTGCTGCTTATTGACACACCATCCATTGCTTTTAACTGGGCCATTAAAAATATGTCCTGTTCAGACTTGGAAAGAGCTTGAAAGGATTCTCTTAATTCTGCAAATTGTTCACTGTGAATTCTTGAAGAACAGCCACATTTACAGCCTTTTTCTAAAAATCAATTGCTTTTTGATATTCAATAGATCCATTATATCTACTATTTTCATATACCTATAACCCTATATAAATAATTTTATGTTTATATATAGGTTTTTTTACAATAAGTAAGTTTTCTATTCAACCTTTTATTTATCTTTATTACAATATTTGGGATGATTACAAAGTTGATAAATTGCATCACCCATGTAATTATAATACCAGGATTGGAGATGGTGGGCAGAAATATTTTTTAAAAAAAAGTGGTTTTGGCTAATACTATGGTAACCCAACCCTTTGGAGCTGGTTACATGTTACATTTCAAAAATTGGTCACACTTGTTCATTTTATATCATTTTATTTGTTTTATAAAATATAAAATGTAAAATTATAAATAAGGTCTTATTTCTTTTAACAAATTGCATTTATAATCTACTATGGTTAATAGTACTATGACTTAAGAAAAGAAAAGAAAGATGTCAGCTACTACTATTTACTATTATTATCATTATATACAAGGGCTAAGAAGGAAAAATAGATTGATAAGAAAAAATATTTTAATTGAATTGGATTTACCAATTTTATTCAAATCATTCATTTTATTAATTTTATTTGAATTAATTCTATTTGATTTATTAGTTTTATTCAAATTATTAATTTTATTCAAATTACATATTAGCTTATTTAAAAATCTTACTAACTGATCCTGTGGTCTTAAATTTTGAATTAGATCTGACAATAAAATTTAACTAAGTTTATTTTTTTATTGTTCATAAAAGAAAATTATGAATTTTTAATAATATTTAATATTTCATGAATCTTACTTGTAATGCTGTAAATATAGTACATGCAATAAAAAGTCTTTTTAGAAGAATTAGATTTATCATCAAAAATATTGAGCATAACAACTAATAATGCTGCAGCAATTGGTAATGTTGTGCATGAAAATTAATTAAATTTTGGGGTGGGTTACAATATTCCAATTGGCTAATTTGAGTGTGACTTTCAAATAATTTGGAGGGGAAATAAGAAATGAATGTTTTTACAAATAATAATAATGGTCATACCATTGTGGTTCCCACATATTCAATATTGCTGTATGGTGGATTGCAAGAATTCATTTGATCAAATGTTAGCTGGCTAGAATTTTTTACCATATTCATCAGCAGTGATTTTATTTATTTTTGGATACAAATTTCTGATTGGCCAATTTAAATTTCACACACAACATTTAGTAAAATAATAAAAAACCCCGATTTTTAGTGAATTCATACAAAGTATGACATTTGTCTACTAAATTATTAGATAAAAATTTTATTCAAGTTCTTAGCCAGCTTAGCTGGCTAAGGTTTTTCTACTGGCTAACATCACTAGTTGGATGATTAGAAATGCTACACAATAAGAAAATCTATTAAATAATATAATTTATGGTTATATATATATATATATATATATATATATTAGAAAAGTGATCTTTGCCTTGACTTTCAAAATCCTATGTATTAAAAATAAGCAAACTATTATTAATGTTATATCTATAAAGCACCAAAAAATATATAATATATAAAGGCCTAACTCTACAGTAAGCCTCGTTTCATCATATAAAATTTATTGAAAAGCAATTAATATCTTGTCGGTTTCCTCTACTTTCTAAAACAGCATCAACCCTTCGTGGCATACTATCTATTATTTATTAATTTTTTTTGTCCATAAATTGAGAAATAATATGGCAAACTTCATGAAATTCTGCAAATAACTAATTTCGAACATGAGACACATTTTTTACTTATACCACAAAGGTCATTAGAACTTGCTATTGCAGTCAATTTTTGAGTCAAACATTTTTCAGAAAATTCTGAAATTTTCATTTTTATCTTTTAAGGTTTGTAAAACTAGTGGTTGTATCTGCCAAATGATATTCACCAATTATTCACCAATTATCTGGTTAATTGGGTATTGAAAAATTTTCATTGATTAATTAATCGGGTGTTGAAAATTTCACCAAATAATTGGTGAATAATCAGTGGTACAGATAGGGTTGTTAATGGAACATAATGGGTTGGGTTGGGTTCATATTATAGTGGAGCAAAGGTTAACCCAACCCAACCCGGGTTAAATGTACTGGGCTAATACTCCATGGGTTACTCCGGGTTACTCAGGTTGCTCCATGGAGTAATAATTATAATTATTAAAGTAAAAAAAAATTATATCTGATTTTTAAATTATAATATTTTTAAAACTTGCATAGTAATATCAAATATAATTATATATTTTGATTCCAAACTTAATTTCCTTTTTATTAAATGTTTAAAAATTGAATAATAATTGTAAAAATAAAATTTTACTTGAATTAAATTTTCAAAAAAAAAACTTAGTTTTACCGCCATTCCCCCAACCACCACCCTACAAAAAATAGATCTTTATATAATTTTTTATCACGTAAATAATCATAAAAATAATTATTCAAAAATTATAAATTTGATCACATAGATCTATTATTAAATATAGATTTATGTACTACTGTTTTAAAAGATTAGATATTAGAAATATTTAATAATAAAATAATAATAATAAACTATAATATTAATTATTAACACTCCAAAAAAAAAGATTCTTCAAACTTATCACTTTCTTTTTTATCTCGAACTTGTTGAATCCAACTTTTTAAACACATAACTGCACGTGTGGTTTCAGGTTTCAAATTACATCGAATCTTGGTAATTGTATTTGATGCCATGGAAAATGCTTGTTCTGAGGGTACACTAGAACCTTGAATACTTAAATAACATAATGCTATTTGTGAAAGAATAGGAAAATCTTTTTCAAAACGTTGCCACCATTCTAATGGATTAGTATTAATAATAGGTGCTGATATATATCGAGTTATTTCATCATCTGTAGGTCTTTCTTCAGAAGTTTGATCAGTAAGAAGAAATTCAAAATATGATCTTTTATTTTCTTGTGATTGTGTATTAATTCTAGTGTTTCCTAATTGATTATTAATTTTATATAATGGCATAAGGTTTTGTAATGATGAAATTGCTTCATCACATTTATCATAATCTTGAAATGTTTTTGTTTTAGATCATGGATCTAATAAGGTAGCAATTGTTGTTGATTCTTCTATATTTTTCCAATATTCTTTTAATTTAAAACTAATTGAATTAGCCATTACACAATCTTCTAAATTATTTTGATTTTGAATAAAAGATTCTAGATGTCGAAGTAATCCAATAAAAATTAATTGTACATCACTTATTGTTGGATAAGTTGATGATGATAATATTTCTGTTGCTAAAAATATTGGTTCAAGTAATTGAATTATATTTTCAATATTTTGCCATTCATTATCTTGTATATAAAAAATTCCTAATTCTCGATTTTTTGCAACAAGAATATCTAAAATATTTCTCATTCGATGAAATTTGTTTAACATTAAATAAGTACTATTCCATCAAGTTTCTACATCTAAATCTGGTTTTAATTCTGGAATCTTTTCAAGTTGACAAATTGTTCTTATTGAATCACTAAGTCTTGTTGATTGTCAAATCTTTACTATAAAATCTCTAACCTTTTTTATAATAGGATCTGATAATTGCAAACCATGTTGAACTGCAATATTTAAAATACGTGCAGCACAACGTTGATGAACAAATTCTTGATTTTCTAATTTTATTTTAAGCTCTCTAGCTGCTGCAATCATAGATTGTGCATTATCCATTGTAATTCCTAATAATTTTTTAGTAATTTTTGCATCATCTAAAGCTTGTAAAATTAATTGTTGAATTCGAACTGCTGAATGTGATCCTGGAAAATATAAAAGATCAAGTAAAAAATGTTGTAATTTCCAATTATGATCTATAAAATGAACTGTAATGCCAAAATATGATTTAATCGTAATTGAACTCCAAATATCACATGTAATTGATATTTTTTTTGTTTGTGAAAGTTCTTGTAAAATTTTTTTTTTCATATTATTATAATTGTTTATTATTTCTGATTTAATAGTTTGTCTACATGGCACTTGGTAACGTCCATCAAAAGTATTTAACATTGTAGTAAAATATGGATTATCCACAATAGCAAAAGGAAGTTGACAACAAACAATAAAATCTACAATTGTATTTGTAAGTTGTTGATATCGTTTTTCTGATTTTGCATATGGTTTAGGTGCAAATTTATCTAAAGTACTTTGTACTTTTCCAATTTTACTATTGTGTTTTGTAGTTAGATGTCTTGCAAGTGTACCTGGAGTATTAGATGGCTTATACCGATTTTTACATATTATACAAATATATGTAATAATTTCTTGTTTATCATTATATTCTTTTGAAAAAAATTCCCAAACCCAAGAAGTTTCACTTGAAATGTTTGATGAATTAGATTCATTTTCTTGTATAGTATTATTAGTTGTACTTGTACTTGTAGTAGTTATAGTTGTAGGAGTAGTAACTAAACTTTCATTATCTTCTTGACTAAAAATCAAATTAATCTCACTTTCTTCTCTATTTATATTTAATAATGATTCACCTGATGGTTCAGGCTCACTATCTGAAAGTATTTCATGTAAATTTTCACAAATTTTTTGTTTTTTATTCATAATAAATTGGATATATTTTATAGATTTCTACAATTCCCTTGTTCGATAAATTTTTATTCTTGTGTAATGGAAAACTTGTAAAATTTTTATTAATTTTAAAAGTCACATTTTAGTATAATAAAAAGGTTAGTCATAAAATAGAAACCAGCCAAAAAAAAAATTACAATATTATGTAGAAGAAAAATATAATTCGCGAACAAATTATTTTACCAAAATAATTTGGAGCAACCCGGAGCAAAATTATATAGTAACCCAGGTTATAATAAAATATTTTGCTCTGGGTTAGTACAAAAAATTAGAAATCTTAACCCACTCCATGATGGAGTGGTACATAACCCGGGTTGATGCCAGAACATTATGCTCCATTTAACAACCCTAGGTACAGAATATAAAAAATAAAAAATTTTATCCACATAATTAATGTAAACAAAATTGAACTCATTATTATTTGAAAGAATCGTATTTCTTAAAAAAAATATGCAATGTGTGTGTTGAAAATAGTTTTCTTGATCTTGATGAATAAAAATTTATTATATTTTTTCTGATGAATAAAAAATTTTTTTTTAAATAAATTTAATATTTAACGGATATTTAACAGATATTCAGCAGATATTCAGTGAATGACCAATTATTCGGGTGTTGAATTCTATTGACTGACCAATTATCTGGATGTTGAGTTTTATTGATTGAATAATTGCTCAAACACCTGGATAATCAACGTATACAACCACTATGTAAAACAACAATGTTTTTATTTATATGTGATGAAACTTCAGTATATTATAGTATTCAATATGAAGATTAATTTTTACTTAATAAGCAGGTGTGATTGAGGTAGTAAAATTTTTAGTTCTTGTCATGTCACTTTATTCAATTATTTGCAATGATCTGCAGGTTTCCCTATACTTTTGTCCAGGAAGTAAGTGTACAACTTTAAATAATAAAAATTTTATTTTTGTAAAAGATCTTCAAGTCAATAAAATTTGATTTTTTGGAGGGTGTTCATTGTAACATTTAGCCAATGTAATCAAAGTCACAATGTGATAAATGAATGCCCATTATGCTTTTAAATTTATTATTTAAAAAGCATTTAATTATTAAGCAATTATTTAGTATATTTAATATAATTATTTACAAAGTAAATTCCCAGGTTACTAAATTTTGGTGTAATATGCACTGTATTTGTCATTGAAGCAATAGGAATTAAAGTATAATGCCCTGCATGCTTAAGAATAGCACATTTAGATGTCAAACATCATTTGGATATGCACAAGATCAAAATTTTTAACCCATGCAATTGTTAATTGACCAACCAAAATCATAAATTTGATAACATAAAAATAAATGTTGGTTTGATTCATTTGCCAACAATCACTTCACCAACAATTGTTTGTTAACAAATGGTATGAATTTAAGAAGTTGGAAGCAACCATGTGACAACCTTTGAAATAAATTAAATTGTACTACTCGAAAATGTATTTAAAAGGTTGGTTTTTGACTTGGTTGAAGCATAACTCTCTTCCTAATTCTTCTCTTGACCATATCTCCTGATATAATCAAAATAACCTTAATATAATGAATATCTTGTAAACACAACCAATTTAAGTTATATGATTAAGACTAACATAACAATGTATGGAAAATCAAACAAATTTATTAAATACAGTCAAGTCTCGTTATAACGAATTCCGAACTAGTACAAATTTAGAAAGTATCTGCAGAAATATTGGGTTTAATTGGATATTTCTGCAGATACTTTCTAAATTTGTACTAGTTCGGAATTCGTTATAACGAGACTTGACTGTAAAAACAAAATTTACCATCAAAAAATGTTTTTTTGCATGTTCTAATAAAATTTCCATTGTTGCTGATTCAACATTACCTAGATCATCATCAACTGTATTTTTGTTATCCATTTAATTTAATCTTTTTGTCATGCTTTCTTTTAGTGTGTTGACTTTTTTTTTTTGATTTTGACTTGAATATAGTCCAAGAATATCAACCATTTAGATTGGCACCTTTGTAGGCAATGTGAGTACACTGATCATATTAAATTAAATTGTTTTTTGTTTCTAGTATATATATTATATTGCAAAAAATTAATTAATTAGTTAATAGAAGTTACACAGATTTTGGTTATTTTTTTTTTCAATTGTTATAATAGACTTTTTCTAAGCATAGTGGACATTTGATTTTATTGGCTAAATTATGTGACGATCTCCTTTACAGATATCACGCAAAAATTAAATTTTATTGGCTTGAAGATCGTTACGCAAATTTGAAAAACCAATATTAATATCGGAGGGAAGGAAATTTAGTTCCAAATTGATAAAAATAAAATGTTTATAATAAATAAAAAATTAATATAGTATTTCTTTATTGAATGTTTTAATACATAGGCTTGGTTTTTTGTTATAAAGTCTAATATATTATTTACTTTTCAACTTTTCATTGACTTCATCAAATCAACACTTTACCTTTGATCATGAATTGTCATCCATTATATAATACTATATATATATATCTGACATTTCCTATAAATAAATAAGTTGGTGACATGAATACAAATGAATATATGAATTTTGAATATAAAAATAAAAATAAAAATAAATATAACCAAACACATTATGACAGTGACAATCCGCCTCCAAAAGTTGTGCAAGGATATAAATTCAACATATTTTATCCTGATCTAATTAATAAAACTAAAGCTCCAACCTATAAAATTGAAAGGGAGCCTGGTAATACTGATACAGTACTAATAAGATTCATTGCTGGACCGCCATACGAGGTAATTTAATATTTTTATGATGATGGTAAATTTTTATTTATTGTGATAATGATGCATTATCATTTTTTTTGTAGGATATTGCATTTCGTATTGTTAATCGCGAATGGGAATATTCTCACAAAAAAGGATTCAAATCAAGTTTTGATCGTGGAGTTTTGCAACTACATTTTCACTTCAAACGTCATTATTATAGACGTTAATTTTATTTTACGTAATAAAATTTATTATATATTTTCAAATATAAAAATATTATTTATTTATAAATTCATAGAATAAAAAACTAGCGCCAATCTTGTGTTATTATATATAGAAATTACTCTTATGCCCATGTTATTTTACAAGATTACTTACTCTTGTACATAAAAAACTCAAGATCATCATCGTCCTTGTTTATTACATCAAATAAATAACTGTTCTCTTTCCTATCCAAAAAAAAAGTACTCCATCAATGTTTTCCTGCTTTACTTTTCATTTCTTCAATCACGGTTAATACTTGAGATTTATTCTTTGGTGTCACCATGGAATGTTGATTTGCATTGTAATCATCAACTTTGAAGATATCCTTAAGTAAGTTATGCCCATGGTCCAGTTCATAAAACATTTTATTGACTTTTTCATATATTTCCTGCGCAAAAATGTTTAAATAACATGTCATTTTCTTTGATGTTAATATAGGAAAAAACTAATTCATAATTTTCAACCAACTTTTAGTGCTTACCATTGCATAGTTAAAAATCTTTATTGTGGATTTTAATTCCCCGATGTGAGCCAATTTTGTTGGTAACTCAAATGTTGAGCCGGGAAAAACAAACATAAAAGACATTTACTTACCAGGTTTTCTACTTGTCCACAAACTCCAGCAATTTGCAAAATGGAATTTCACTTGCTCATCAGTCAACTTTCTGCTCAAAAGGATATTTAAAATTGATTGGTTGATTCCAGCTGAGCGACAACGGCCTCCAATTGCTTTAGCTGGAGTTGCTTCGGCAGCAAATTCCCACTCACCAAGATCTATTCCTGCGAGACTTTAAAATCAGACATCACATATGTTACCCCTATCATAAATTGCGGATTGGCACAAAGGACAAAACGATTCGTTTCCGATGTACAAAAATATTCATAAGTTTATACGCTTGTTAGAGTCCAAAAAGATATTCTTTGTTTACCATTTACAATGTATTCCATCTCCATTTTGCAACTCGTCGACAATGTAAGTTCATGCTTTTACAATAACATCAATTTCGGTGTGATCATTTCTGTCTCTAACTTTAGAAAAGTAAATAAAGGCAAGCTTAGCAAAAGTATCGGTCACCCTAAATACACCATTTACGCAAAAACGTACATAATAATTGTACAAAAAATTATATCAACTTGTGGCATATGTTCCGGAGATCCAGCATATAAAATTTCATATTTTTTAAAAACCTTGACAACAGATCTAAACCTCTTATTAATTTAATATTTCGTGGGCCATCTATTACTTGCAATAATGCCTCAATTCTATGAGGTATGCTTTCGATTAATTTCATGTACACATCTTCTGGAATTTTATCCCATTCTTCAATTAAAAGTGCCTCTAACTCCCTAAGTTTTTTGTTGGCTTAGGTTTTTTTCAAAAACAAGTCTCTAGTTCATTCCACAAATGTTCAATTGGATTTAGGTCAGGAGATTGACATGGCCATCCTTCCAGAAAAACCAAGAATTTTGCTAATTTTGACTTTTGAAGTATTCTTTACACAAAATAATATCACGATCTTGCATTCTTATTGGCCAATTTAACGATCTGCAAAGT